TGATTCAAAATGTAATTTTTTTTTGTTAGGAAAATTGAGATAGCCTGAAACAAACACTATTCCATTGAAAGTTTGAAGTTTTTCGGAAATATACTCGAAATATGGCGGAAAGTCAAAAATTTGCACTAAGTGCTCAACTCGTCGAGATAAGCACTTTTGTGCAAAAAGTGACAATGTTAAAAAGTTTAGTCAAAATGTAATTTTTTGTTGTTAGGAAAATTGAGATAGCCTGAAACAAACACTATTCCATTGAAAGTTTGAAGTTTTTCGGAAATATACTCGAAATATGGCGGAAAGTCAAAAATTTGCACTAAGTGCTCAACTCGGCGAGATGAAGCACTTTTGTGCAAAAAGTGACAATGTTAAAAAGTTGAGTCAAAATGTTTTTTCTTTTGTTAGGCATGGTGAGATAGCCTGAAACAAACACTATTCCATTGAAAGTTTGAAGTTTTTCGGAAAAGTACTCGATATATGCAGAAAGTCACAAAATTTGCACCAATTGCTCAACTCGGCGAGATAAGCACTTTTGTGCAAAAAGTGACAATGTTAAAAAGTTGAGTCAAAATGTAATTTTTTTTTGTTAGGCAAATTGAGATAGCCTGAAACAAACACTATTCCATTGAAAGTTTTTGGTTTTTGGAAAAGTACTCGAAATATGGCGGAAAGTCAAAAATTTGCACTAAGTGCTCAACTCGGCGAGATAAGCACTTTTATGCAAAAAGTGACAATGTTAAAAAGTTGAGTCAAAATGTAATTTTTTTTTTGTTAGTCAAAGTGAGATAGCCTGAAACAAACACTATTCCATTGAAAGTTTGAAGTTTTTCGGGAAAGTACTCGAAATATGGCGGAAAGTCAAAAATTTGTACTAAGTTTTCAACTCGGCGAGATAAGCACTTTTGTGCAAAAAGTGACAATGTTAAAAAGTTGAGTCAAAATGTTTTTTTTTTTTGTTAGGTAAAGTGAGATAGCCTGAAACAAACACTATTCCATTGAAAGTTTGAAGTTTTTCTGAAAAGTACTCGAAATATGGTGGAAAGTCAAAAATTTGCACTAAGTGCTCAACTCGTCGAGATAAGCACTTTTGTGCAAAAAGTGACAATGTTAAAAAGTTGAGTCAAAATGTAATTTTTTTTTTCTTAGGCAAAGTGAGATAGGCTGAAGGAAACACTATTCCATTGAAATTTTGAATTTTTTCGGAAAAGTACTCGAAATATTTCAGAAAGTCAAAAAATTTGCATCAAGTTCTCAACTCGGTGAGATTAGCACTTTTGTGCAAAAAGTGACAATGTTAAAGGAAGACCGAATTTTATCCTTAATACTGTTTATAGAGATTCAGGAGATACAATTTAATACATATGAATCGCAGTTTATGTGATTTGGGCCATAGTTTTCAATAAAATGAGTTTGAAAGTCGCGTATTTTCCGAAAGGAATCGATATTTTGGCATGCGCCATTTTATAACCGAAAACGAGGCTGTAGGGTGATTGGAGGGGCAAGCTTTCGCGCGAGCTCATTCAGTCTATTGTTTACACTGAACGAAGCATACGGAATGTAAAGACTGAATTGGAAAATACCTCGTAAAAAAACATGAATTACGGTTTGGAACCATATCAGTGCGAGCCAAGAAGAGTAACAATGGTTATTCAACATAACGAAGAAGATATTTTTGATGGTAATGTAGTTGAAGAACCCGCAATAGAAAACCAGGAATGGCGAAAAGAAAACACTTCGTTGTGCACTTGCAAACAATGCCGAGTAATGCCGACTGTTGCTGAATGTTGTTGTTGCAAGGAAATTGAAAACGTTCGGGTAAAGGCTGAAAATGCTGGCCTAGATTGTATTATAGAACATTTTGATTTCGAATTTGTGTGTCTACACCCTTAAGTTCTTAGGACAGCGTTAGTCGCCCGTAGTGACATAAGACAAAACGATTTAAGAGAGCCTATACAGAACGAGGCTTACCGCCTGCAAGCGTATAGGCAGTTTACTTACTGGGTGCACAATCGTCTTGGGAAGGCCGTACGCAGAGTTATTCCTGCTTGTGCTGTTTTGAAAATTCGCCGAGAGTTTCCAAGTGAAACCATAAGAAAAAAAAAATAAAAATACAAAAAATAAAAAAAAATAAATAAATAAATAGATTATGAACTAGGTTAATTTAAATCTTGTTCTGAAAGAAGCAATTGTATCCTCTTTTGCTGGCTTTTCTGATCGTGCAATGTTTTGTGGTCTGTCTCTTATACACATCTAGATGTGTATAAGAGACAGCTTCAAACTTTGTAAATAATTCAGTGATCAGATAAAAATAAATTATTTGTTGTATCGTATGTATTGCCATTACTTTTTATTTAATAGTTTTGAAACGTGCCATGCTGAAGCAAATAGGCGGATTCATTTATGGGTGGGAGACCAGATTGACCGGATGCACAACCCCACCCCCTCCTTTATAATCAGTTAATAATATTTTTATGAAGTATTGAGAAAACAAGTAAACAAAGTGGTGTTTTTAAAAGAAAAACAAAGACCTACATTTGTTTGAACATTTTATTTTCAACATTTAATATTTGGCGGCGTATAGATTTCGCCTATTTTTAATTTAGTTGCTTTTGTTTGGTTCCCTTAAATTCCTCATGCGTTAATACTAAATATTAGAGTAGATATTTATATACAGGTACGCCACCATTAATATATTTAATGGGCATTAGCATTTTGGGCTTCAAAATTCTTTAAGCAAACTTAAAGAATTCTCCCTTTCCCAAATTCAAGGATCTACCCCTACTAGTTGCCTGGCTGGCTGAAGCGTGCTTCGATCTGACCTTGATACTGTAGTGTTACGGAATGCAACACCACATTTTGAATTCATTTAAAGGCTTGCGAGAAAAAAATTAAAAAAAACCTAAGTGAAAGCTGTTGGCTAACTCAGTACAACCTTTAATTATCAATCTGAAGGAAATCATAAATGGTGTACAATCAGTAACAGGCTGATGTTTGACAAATGCAAGGGTCTCGCTGAAGGCTAGCTTGTATGTAAGAAGGCAGCCAACTTATTAAGACGACGTGCAGTGGCAAACCATAAGCATGAGTACAAAAAAAATCAACCACTTTCATACATATCAATTTCAATTTATTAATGATTTATTAAAAGTAATTAACAACAGAAAGGGGAATATATGCTGAAAAACTTTGTAAGCTTCTCACAAACTTTATTATTGTATGCAATGAAAGCACAGTACAGAGTAAAAGGCAAAGAGTTAATTATTCCTAGATTCATATAGTTAAAAAGTTTCCTCTCCAGCTGTCAACATTATTGCATATGCAAATAATACTGTACTGAATAGCACAACTCAAGAAATATGCTGAAAAGAGAAAGAATACATTTGCATATGCAAATAATACTGTACTGTATAGCACATCAGAAGCTTGTCACAAACATTAATTTATGCAATGAAAGTACACAAGGCCCAAGATCTAAATTATTTTCGAATATAATTAAAATTATAAAACATTTATTATTGTTCTTAAAACAAATTCAGTAGATATTAAATACTGTTCATATTTCAGAACAAACCATAAGAAAAAAAAAATAAAAATACAAAAAATAAAAAAAAATAAATAAATAAATAGATTATGAACTAGGTTAATTTAAATCTTGTTCTGAAAGAAGCAATTGTATCCTCTTTTGCTGGCTTTTCTGATCGTGCAATGTTTTGTGGTAGATCAGGTCTGCTAACATACTGTTGACCTAATACAATCGTATGGTCCTCTCGTCGAGCATGCAACATTTCCATTAACCTCGCACGAAATTTGTATGTTTTTTCACAGTTAACTTTCTTGAGAACCCACTTGCCTTGACGCTTGGAAAATGCTTGGTAAAATCGCAGCGATCCTGTCAAGATAGAAATTATACCATAACAATCAATTTGTGTACAGTATTTGTATTCACTGGTGGGTTACAACAAATCCAAAGACAGTAAGAAAAAAAAAGCTGTTTTAATTATGCTTTCAGTGCAGTTACTAAAACTACAAGTGCTGCAAATATTATTTGCTGGGTCGTGATGGACGACGACAAAAACTCATTCATATACAAACAAAATAATAAATAATAAATAGAAATGACTTCCAAACTATAAGGTAGCAAAATAACTTACCATCCTGAGTAACTGCCTGTTGTCGTCCGACATTTTCATTGTGGTCTAAAACAGCTAGCTGCAGACGGGCTCTTTGACCCTCATAACTGAAATGTTCTCTTTTGGGACAATACTTAAGGAGCATTCCATGGAAAACCTCAAGAGATCCTAAAACAAGAAAAGAATTTTACGAATTTTTAAGACACTGCAAGAACGCCTAACACTTTCCCTGAACAAATTACCCGCAATTGAATAGATTGTTATAATTGTTCGAAAATATTTTTATTATATTACTGACTTTTTTTGCTAATTAAAGAAACTGTACCTGTATGTTTGAAAAGAGTCATCTTCTGTATATCTTTTAACAGTTTCTTACTGAGAATAATGTCTTGTAAAGCCTTGTGTGGTGGCGAGTCCGGTTTCAACCAGCAAATCTCTCTTGCGTCCGTTGGTGTTAGAGGATCGTGGCTGCAAGTGTGGTAGGTGTCTGCGCTTGCCCAACTGTGTACCTGTCTCTTATACACATCTAGATGTGTATAAGAGACAGGCACTATAGAGATCTAATCACTAAACAAACTAACGTCAATGACCTAACTCAATACAAAAATAAATAAAATTATTTAAACATTTACCCGAGTCTGAAGATTCAATATCTGAAAGCTCTATCTCTGGCATATGTAACACCTTGCCTGGTTTCTTGGGGGTACTACACATTGGAGCACTGTCCTTCTGTGGTGGTTTGCATCTGGGCATTTGTGGATTGTTTTGAATTTCCTTTCCATAACAATGATCATGCTTCAACTTCGCAGGATCTGCCCATGAGTAAGTCTAAAACAAAAAGGAAGTGCATTTATAGACAACATAAATATAAAATTATTAGTACCTTAACTAAGTTATAAAAATAATTACTCTACTGATTTCCTTTACCTCACCATTCTAAAATCCAACATTGTCTATTTTTTTTTATTCTTCCTGGTTTAATATCTTGTGGTGCAACTAGTGCATCATGGTTTAATATCTTGTAGTGCAACTGGTGTATGCCAGTCAAAGGCCATTACTATTTGGAATAGATAATTAATAGGAAACATAAACTTTGTGAAAGAAATTTCAAGGAAAGAAAATGAAAATTATGACTCCAGTACAAATTTCAAAAGTATTTTATACACAATTTATTTATTGTCACGAGCTGACATGTGGCCTAGTTGTCTTGTGGCCTAGTTGACAGTGCTCAAGCTTTCTGTGGACGAATTGGCTTGTGGCAGAGCTGACAACGCTTAATAGTCATATTACTACCCTTAATATTATACACAATACAATATTAAATCCCGTCTTTGATTTGAAGATTTCAAACTTAAAAAGCAGGGGGAAAAATGATGTACCTGTGTTGAGACGTTAACTTTTGCTACATGTATACAATTGCATATGCTTTGGTTGTCAGATTCAGGAGTCTCTTCTGTATTTTGAATACACTGCCAACGAGTTGATGGTTCATCTTCGTATATCGCATTTGGTATAGCCTGAAATAAAAAAGAATGTGCAATACACATTAGCAACTATAGCCTAGGCCTAGCAGTGCATATGTCTGTAAATTTTATAAACATTAAGAAAATCCACTGCAGAAATAATCTAAGCTGTTATTACAGCTCCCTGATCTAATGTATATATCTGTTTGTGTTATGTTGGTATCGTTTTGTAACATAGGTCTGCCCTAGCTAGGCTACACCCGCGCGTCCCTAGCCCAACTTTTATAATTGTTAGGCCTACCTTTTCTTCATCACTCGCAAGACGCCGTTTTTCAGTCAGAAGTTTATGCCGCTCCTTTCTGCTCTCATTAACAACAGGCTTACTAAAAACAAACTTAGTCGGCACTGCATCTTTTTTCAACCTTCGTTTCGGCTTAACGCCGAATTCGGAAGGCAATTCTTCAAACATTTCATCTTCGAAATGTTCGCTGCACACTCGAGAATATGCGTTAAGATGTGGTGTCTTCAGTTTCATGGCTACTTGCCATCTCCGAAGCTGAACTTTGTCGTGTAATGGCAATCTGTGAAAACTCACATGTTCAGGGCATTTTGATTTTCTCCCTTTTTTATTCGATGCATTGGAGCATCCGTAAGCCATACAAAATACCATGGTCTTCTGAATAGCAATCAAAAAATAAAAACGATAGAAACTTTATTTACGCCGAGATGAAAGAACTCCGTCTAAGTATAGCAAAACACACGAAGTTTGGGAGGAAAGTGGTACCAGGATGTTGGGACTTCCGCCCCACCAACGATCCCAGCATTCAGTTGAAAGTGTCAAAATGGCGGTGCTCCGTAAGCGTGCATACATTTGTGCCGTAAAATTCGTATTGAAGGCAATTTCTTGGTAATGCTATTTTTGTCCATTATTTTGTTTTTATTACTAACACATACATGCACTCTTGTAGGTAAAATTCGGTCTTCCTTTAAAAAGTTGAGTCAAAATGTAATTTTTTTCTGTTAGGCAAAGTGAGATAGCCTGAAAAAACACTATTCCATTGAAAGTTTGAAGTTTTTCGGAAAAGTACTCGAAATATGGTGGAAAGTCAAAAATTTGCTCGGCGAGATAAGCACCTTTGTGCAAAAAGTGACAATGTTAAAAAGTTGAGTCAAAATGTAATTTTTTTTTTGTTAGGCAAAGGGAGATAGCCTGAAACAAACACTATTCCATTGAAAGTTTGAAGTTTTTCTGAAAAGTACTCGAAATATGGCGGAAAGTCAAAAATTAGCTCTAAGTGCTCAACTCGGTGAGATAAGCACTTTTGTGCAAAAAGTGACAATGTTAAAAAGTTGAGTCAAAATGAAATTTTTTTTTTGTTAGGCAAAGTGAGATAGCCTGAAACAAACACTATTCCATTGAAAGTTTGAAGTTTTTCCGAAAAGTACTTGAAATATGGCTGAAAGACAAAAATTTGCACTAAGTGCTCAACTAGGTGAGATAAGCACTTTTGTGCAAAAAGTGACAATGGTAAAAAGTTGAGTCAAAATGTAATTTTTTTGTGTTAGGCAAAATGAGATAGCCTGAAACAAACACTATTCCATTGAAAGTTTGAAGTTTTTCGGAAAAGTACTCGAAATATGGCAGACAGTTAAAACATTTGCACTAAGTTCTCAACTCGGCGAGATGAGCACTTTTGTGCAAAAAGTGACAATGTTAACAAGTTGAGTCAAAATGTAATTTTTTTTTTGTTAGGCAAATTGAGATAGCCTGAAACAAACACTATTCCATTAAAAGTTTGAAGTTTTTTCCGAAAAGTACTCGAAATATGGCTGAAAGACAAAAATTTGCACTAAGTGCTCAACTAGGTGAGATAAGCACTTTTGTGCAAAAAGTGACAATGTTAAAAAGTTGAGTCAAAATGTAATTTTTTTTTGTTAGGCAAAGTGAGATAGCCTGAAACAAACACTATTCCATTGAAAGT